TCCCCCCCCACCCCCACGTCCCCACGCTGGTGGGCCCCCCTCAGGACTCGGTGGCCCCCATCCCACCGTCCCCCCGCTGGCGGCCCCTCCACTCACGGGCAAGCGGTGGATGACGGAGCTGTTGGAGGTGACGGTGTGCCCCCCCTCCTGCATCATGGCCAACTCGGGGCCTTCCTCCCCCTCCTCCTCCTCCTCCTCCTCCTCCTCCTCCTCCTCGGAGGCCCGTCAGCTTTGCGTTTGTTTTGTTTGTGTATTGAATTGTTAGACTAAACAGGCCGTGACTAGTTTCCCCTTTCTGATCGCGGGGGTATTTGTCATTTGTATGGTGTTTGGTGTACCGAGCTCACGGGTGTGAGGGAGCGGGTGTCCCGTCCCTGGCCTAGGGCTGCGCTCGCTCTGTCAGCAGCGGGATGGCTGCCCTGGCTTTAAAAGTGCTCCTTGAATTCCTGTTTTAGCAAAAAGTTGCGATGAGGGAGTCAGGCTATGATTTATTTTATTTTTTAAATTTAACTTTACTTCATACTTCTGTTCATCGTAAATGAAATGGTACAAAATCCCATTCGCTGCTCCGGAGCTGTCTTGGCTCCAGAAGGCGGCCTGGTGCTGTTGGGGAAGGCAGAAGAGCGTGTGTTATTGCATTTTACTGAAGCCAGTAGCTACGGCTTTGGCTGTGCTGAGGAAAGGAGCCTCTTCGGGAGAAGGGCTACGCTTGCATGTTTATTTTGTAGGGGCTTGCTCTTCATAAAGGGAGGCATTATAGTTCAACTGCTATCTAATGCACGCCTAAAGTTTTGAAAGTCTGTTGCATGATTCCTAGTAGTTAAATTTGTATCAGGTGATGCCTGAAGGAGCTGATCTTGCTGTCACGAGTTGTTTGGGTTTTCCAGCAAGTTCACTAGTTGCAAGGTTGGGTCTCGTGATGGTCAAAATTGGAGTACGGGCCTGTCAGTGTGAGACACTCAGAAATGTGGTATTTTAGTGCTTCTTAACATGCCTGTTACCTTCTTGTCACATACAAGGTGCAGTGGGAGGGGAAATTGAAAATGTAAGGTGTGCAGTTTAGAAACAGGACTTAAATGTGTGACTGGCGCAAGTCTTTGTTTTCTCTTTGCTCTTTTTGCAGCTGTACTCTTTTCTTTTTCTTTTTTTTTGTCTTTTTTTTTCCCCCTAGACAAAATAAAGGCAGACATGCTGAAGTAGCCAGCAAGCCTGGAGAAGAATTCCGCAGGGAAAATCATTGGTGTCTCAGCAGGGCTACTGGCCTCACTATGGGTCAGGAAGTACCGTGTCCTTGAGTCATCTCATGGCCAGGGTATTTGTGCCATTCAGTAGCCCTGGGCAGCTGAGTGTGTTAGACTCTCGGGCTGTGCTCTGGGCAAGCTGTGTACACCAGTCTGTCTTGGTAACGAGAATACAGGAACCTTGTTTTAAGTGAAATACGTGAGTGAATTTGAAGGAAATGGGGAAAGGAGGACTTGTCAGAAAGTTTTTTTGCTGATTGTATACAGTGTGGTACGTAAGCGGATTCGGCCTTCAGTTTTTGAGGTTTAATAGGAATAATGAATGGAAACAGTGATTGTAAGTTCTTAGGCCTCTTTATCTAAATTAGCATAGAGGAATAGAGTATTTCTGTCTGATATTGACAATATTGTAGACTAAAAATAACTCCATCTGGGGAGCTATTACTATAGAATAGTTTCTCAGAGCAAACTGGTCAATCCCTGTGTAGACAAACTCTTAGGAGAATGTTTATGAGGTAGATCTCAAACCATCCTCTACCCAGCATCTGCGTGTCTCTGATGTTGTGAGTATAAATCACCCTTTGTAATCTGCATCATGTCCACACTTTAGCTATCAGCACTGTGTACAACGTGACTTGAGTTCGCCAGTCTTAAGCCCTTAAGTCCTGTATCTGCAGACGTGCCCCTCAGCAGCCTTACGAACTTGTGTACTCCAAGTGTTGCAGCATCTGGATCACAGAATCGGTCTTTGGGGGTGGCCGCACACTTGAGCTCTCCCACTCAGGCCCTTAGGAAGCCACGAGACGGTTACTCCAGCCGTGAAGCTGTGCTTATCGTTCTGTGTGCTTCTCTTTCTCAACACAGGCGCTTTGATTACCGTCCAAAAACGGATCCTTACTGCCAAGCTCGTTACACCTTCTGTCCCACTGGCTCTGCCATCCCGGTTATGAAAGAAGAGGATGTCATCGAAGTGTACCGATTACAGGCTCCAGTATGGGAATTCAAATATGGGGACCTACTAGGACATTTGGTAAGGTGATATTTTTGTTTAACAAAGTTACAGTGGCAAATTCAGCTGAATTCAACAGCAGGTTTCAAGAATGGGAGCTGTAAGGTTGGTATGTGCTTGTATGGAAGAGTATTGGAGCACACAGGCTAGGCTCTCTATAGGAAAGGTACCCAATGAACAGTAAGTTTCAAACAAAATCTAAAGAAAAGAGCATGACCAGCACTGTTGGTAGGTTTGAATGTGTTCCCCCATGGAGCCGCATATTGGGAGTGTTTTGTGTATACACACCATTACATTTTGGGTGTCTTTTTTCTGCACTATCACTGCATCAAGAAAATACATTTATTTGTCCCCTTATGTCAGAGAAAATGCTTACTTAGTGTATTAACTTTTCTGTTCTTAAAAACATGTATTTGCATGAACATGGATGTCTGTCAGGAGTGGACAGCTAACTGGTCAGACTGGTTGGGTGCTTTTACGGTTCTTTCTTGGGTGTTATGATCAGTATTGAATTAAAGTCGCAATTCATGGAGTCATGCAAATAGGAAAGAATCTCAACTTTAGTGATATTTATAGCTATAGCAGTAGCATAACTAAGCTTCAAAGCATGATTCCTAATGAATAAAGAAATGCTAGTGAACGTGAAATAGCAACATCAAAACCAGGCACGCAGAGTCACAAATGGAAATAGCTTCAAGTATCATTATCTTAGTTGTTAAACTAAGGTTGAATGTATGTATTTATCATACAGCTTTTAAAATGAAGATTTATCTCATTCCTTTTGTGGCTTTCAGTACTAAGATCTGGTTTTGGTAACTCAGTTCTGCTCTTTATTTCTTTGATATCCCTGTGAGGTTAAGGATTCAAAAGTAAGCTTGAGTTTTGATGATGAGCTCCCACTGAGTATCTGCTTCCAAGTAACAGAATTTACAATGGATGGATAGACAAGCACCGAGACAGTGTGACTCTGTGATGAAAGTATGCGCGTGATACAATCTAGTATGTTGTGCATCAATGCTGCTGAATCCAAGCTGTTATAGGAACCCCTTCCCCTCTTCTCACCCTGTTACACAACAGCTCCCAAGCGTCTTATCTTTTGTACAGGTCAAGCTGAAGTTGGTTTTATGTTAAAATTTTGGCTTTTGGGGCTTTTTTTTTTTTTGCTTTTCCAGAAAATTATGCACGATGCTGTGGGTTTCAGGAGCTCTCTAACGGGCAAAAACTACACAATGGAGTGGTACGAGCTCTTCCAGCTTGGGAACTGCACATTTCCACATCTCCGGCCTGGCATGGACGCACCATTCTGGTGTAACCAGGGAGCTGCCTGCTTTTATGAAGGAATAGATGATGCACACTGGAAGGAAAATGGAACTTTAGTTCTCGTGACCACAATATCAGGTAGATTTCAGATGCTTTGGATGGTGCTAATATCATAAAATCTAGAGTCAGCCTTGTCTTCATGTAAAGCAGTATCTTTTAATTTATGTTCTGTAGGTTATTTGCAATGTTAGTGACTGATGCTAATTTCAAATTGAAATACTACCTCTGCACTTTCTTTAATACAGAAGGCAGTACAAGGCTGCTGCCTTTTGAACAACGCACACTGAAGAGTTGTTAAATGAGAGTCATTTGGTGTTGCTGTACAAAAAAAACACTTGAGTCTCTTGAGCGTAAAAATAGCAAAACAGCTTATACAGAACCATTATGGACTCTTTTCACATGGCTTCCCCAAAACAAAGCCTTCTATTGTGAGGTGGCAGATGACTGCTGAGATAGAAAAACTGGTGAAAATGTGTACATTACTGAGCAAAAAAATAAGGCGTATTTAGAAATAGTCTCAAAAATATAAAAAATATTAATTTCTATTTCCATCTCCCCCATTATGTGTCATAAAAACTGTGCAGATGTCCCCAGTAGTAGGTCTCTGTCGTATGTCATAGAACAAAACCAGGGTTTACACATCTAAGTAAGCCTATGTTCACCAAAATAGCTTCCTGGTATATACTGAACACTGAAATTCTAAAATAAAAAGGTCATTTAAATAAATCTGGCTGATTACTGTAGTAATACAGTGAATGACTTATGAACAAAGTCCCCTGAGGACTTCGAGAATTGCCTTTTGTGTGACCAAAACTACTTACTCTCCAAAGTTAGCACAGTGTACAAGGCACGGTGGGGAGTCAGACTACAGCTGGTGTGATGTGGTGCTCTGTGTTTGCCCGCTTCCACCTTTAGCAGCTTTGCTGGACTCAGTCTCTAGATAACTGTCCAGCGCCGCTAAGAAATGCTAGGCTGTTTTTTAAGCGATGAAATAAGCGGAGCTGCTTTCCTGTGAGTTTGTAGCTCGTGACTCAAGTCTTTGATGCCTGATATAGTTGGATTCTTTTGTACGAATACCAAGTTAAACGTTTTCGTACAGTTGTGGAACTTGTAATGCTTCCTGCCTGTGGATTATGTGATGCCTAAGAAAGGTGAGGTTACGCTGGTGCCTTGTGCAGGCATTGCTACGGTCCTCCTTGTCTCTCTCGCTTACTGTTTCCATGAAACTTTTAGGAAGGTAGCATCTCTGAGAGTTTTGAATTGTCTGAATTTGACTAGGAATCTGAAAGTTACCATGGAAAAAGGGGAATGGATGCAAGCAGAGATGGACAGCATCATGAGCTGAACTTGCTTTCTTCAGAGAGCAGGCAAAAAGCATCCCGTCTCTTGGGAGAGGGCTTTAATGTATGGAACAGCTGGACCCTCTTTGCCCTTGCAAGATCCTATGGAGCTGTTTGTCAGCGGTGTCAGAGACCACGCTGAAGCAATCTCATTTTCTTTTAAAGCCCATCGGCCAGGTTAATGTTACTTAGGGGTATGTTTCTTTTGTGGAAATAAGTCTGATTTTTTTTTTTACTGTCTAGGCA